AAAACAAGTAGAACTTTATTGCAAAAGGAGGAAAAAAAAACAAGTAACTGTGGATATTTATTTTTTGAGCTTTCTTGTCTATAAAGGACATTTAGTTTGCAAATGAGTAAATTAAAGCTATTCTATTTGCTGTTACAGGTGAACTGGACTTTGTGTGAGTGTGTGTGTGTGAGAGAGAGAGAGAGAGAGAGAGAGAGAGAGCATAGGTCCTCTCACAGCTGGCAAAGCAAAAAGACAGCAGTGTGTTAAAACTGTCATCTCAGTGTTCACTTTTTGGTCCTGGTTCTCTGTTCTGCAATCACCTGGTTTACACTTAGCTCTGGAATCGATGGCGATGATGCCTGAAGTCTTTTTTTTTTGTCTCTGTTCTGTTGTTTTAATTCAACTAGAAACTTTTTTTGTGTGTGTTGTGTTTTATTTGAATCCTAGGCAGAGCCACACACGTCAAATTTTGGCCTTTGTACATTTTCAGTGTTTGCTCTCCACCGTCCGCATCACTGAATGAATGTGGAGACGCGGTGACGCTGTTTCATATTTCCTGGCAGCAGCGTGGCGGCCATGCAGTCAGTCCAGCCTCCGTGCATGCGTGTTCGTGTGTTTGTGGCTCTGCCTTTAGTAAACTGTGTGTTAATGACGGAGGAGAGCGATGCCTATATACTTTGATTTTCATAGAGATTAAATCAAGATGAATACTTAAAGAATGGGAAAGTAAATATACGCAGTGTACTATATATAATATGCCTTGTTATTTGGAAAAAAAAGATGTAAATATACATATTTCTCTTTTAGTTTCTTCTTTTTTGCTGCTATAAAAAAGATGATTATTTTTGTTAGTAGTGTTGTTTTCTATATAAAGTCTGTATATATATCTCTATGTTATGTAAATATGCTTGAGCCTTCATATGTAGGACTCTGGATGAACACTGTATGGAACGCACCTTAAACTCTGTTCAGAAGCAAACAACCAATGACGTTTTTCATCATTTGGCATTTTCACTCAGAATTCAAAATATGACAAGAATCAATAATAAAGAAGGGTCTCACCATACAGGCAAAAAAAAAGAGAAAAAAATCTGCTCTGGATGAAAATAAAAGTTCATTTGATCAAAAAAGATTTCTGCAACTGGGAGTGTCTCACTTTATAAAGACATAAATATACAGTGATAGCCACAAAATACATGTTTTTATATGCAATAATAATCAGAGAAACAAATTCATTTTAAAAATAGAACGTTTTTAATACTTAGAGGAAAATGCTTTGCAGTGCATTTAACATGAGTTGAGAAAGATGCTCAGAAAGGTCTTGATCTTGAGTGTAACTGTTAGTTTACTCTTATTAGTATTACATTGCAAAAATTTTTACCACATGTAAATAATGAAATATTAAGGGATAACAGTGTCTAAAAAACATGTTAATAAAATGCACTAATGACCTTCTGTATATTGTTACCTCACTTATTATCTTTAAGGAGTCTTAAGCTCTAAGCAGACTGGTTTTATCAGGCTTGATGCACATTTTCTTGCAAGTAAAAGAGCATCTTATTCCTTGGAAAGTAAGATTTCTGTAAAATATTAATTACATGTTAATTAGAGAATTTTCATTCTTTATTATAAAGATTTGGCAAGCATTTCCAAATCATGCTTTTTTTTGGTAAAGGAGGTATTTAGAGTATTTTTATCTGAAGAAATTATAAAACTCAATTGCACTTCAACAGAAACAGAAATCTGCACAACAACTAAGGGTGTAATTCCCCTGTAATTAAATGTAATTAATTAATTTTTAAAAATTATAACTTTAAAAAATGTATTTGTATTTACATACAAATATAAATTTGAGTTGTGGATAAGTCATTTCGAATTGTGCCTAAATTCTGGGTATTTTACAGGAAAGGAGACACAAAGTACTTGAATTACTCACAGAATAATTTGTGTCTACTTAAAAGTTAGGCGCAAATCAAAATTACTGATACGCTGTGTAAGATTACTTAGAAACCACTTAAATTTAATTACAGTAATTAATTGTTGCAAATAAAAATTCAAAAATAGAATATGTTAAAATTCCCCTTAATTACATAGAAATTATACCCTTAGTTGTGAGCTGTAATATAAAGTGTTATTTAGTTTTTATACTAAACAAAGTAAATAAATTGTGATCCACTGAAGCTAACGACCAGGTTTACTCCAAAAAAGCAAATATAAAAATAATTCTGTTTTTGTGACCTCGCTCGTGTTTTTGTTTGCTTGTTTTTTGTTGGAATGCATGTGACTGTTGGTGAAGCAACCTGCTGGTCTGCAGTTTCAAGACATTTTTTCATGTGCAAATAAAAATCTTTACTCAGCATCTTCAAAGCAGCTAATTTGGTTTCCCATGATGCATTGCGGTTAGACCGCTGAGAAGGAAGAGGAAAACTGGGGAAAAAAGATTTTGTTGTGCAGAATCAGATTTCTAGCGCACACAAACGCACACGCACATGCACTGCACACACTCGGTCAAAGCTTTGGCTGTTTCCATGAAGAGAAGCCAGAGAAGGAACCTGAAACTGGTGTGTGTGTTTAACCCAGACTCATCATGTGGCAGGAGGGCCAGCTGATGGTAAGTATTTATGTATGTGTGTGTGTGTGTGCGCGCATTAGTATAAAGTTGCAAGCCAAGGTCATCGCAGTTACGTAAAGTGAACTGTGATGACCTGCTGCTTCTCTGGAAGGATGATGGAGGGAAATGCCACTCAATTTAATGTCTCACACTCCTGCTATGACTGACACCTCATAGCCCGACTCTAATATCGTCAATGAAAACTAAACAAAGACTTTTATGCACTTAATACATAAATCCATTGAAATCTTGTGTAGGAGAGTAGTCATAAATCGTTTTTTAATTTATAAATTAAATTCATAATTCACATTTTTTTCACCCTGCTTTAGAACACACAGATATTTCAGTGGATAACAGCAGCAGCTATGAAATAACATAATCTGTTATTTTTCATGAACAGCTCCACTGTTAATCAGTGCCAGTGTGATTGTTCTGGATGACATTCATCATTCCACCGCAGGGAGATGCTGTCCTCTGGTGGAGTACACCTAGTACCAGGTTGGACCCCATTTCTGCCTTAATCCTTTGTAGCACAGATTCATCAAGTGCTGCAAACATTCCAGAGATTTTGGTGCATATTGACACGACAGCATCAAAGTTACTGCAGATTTGTTTGGCTGCAATCCATGATGTGAATCTCCTGCTCCACCACATCCCTTTACCAGTGCTTTACCAGATTGAGACCTGATGACTGTGGAGGCCATCTGAGCACAGCAATCAGGTGATGGAGACACTGTGGTCATAAAGCAATAGAGATAATCATGAACAATACTCATGTAGTAGCTCAAGTGTTTAACCAGGAGTTAAAAGAATGTACCTAATAAAGTTGCTGGTGACTATTTCTTTTATTAACAACAGCTACAGCCAAAGAATTTAA